GGGGGGGGGTACTGCGCATGCGCGGGGCAGGGGTGGTAGTGCGCATGCGCGGGCCGAGGCGGTAGTGCGCATGCGCGGGGCCGGGGCGGTAGTGCGCATGCGCGGGCTGAAGCGGTACTGCGCATGCGCGGCCGGGGAGGTACTGCGCATGCGCGGGCCGAGGCGGTAGTGCGCATGCGCGGGGCCGGGGCGGTAGTGCGCATGCGCGGGCTGAAGCGGTACTGCGCATGCGCGGGCCGGGGAGGTACTGCGCATGCGCGGGGCAGGGGTGGTAGTGCGCATGCGCGGGGGAGGGGGTACTGCGCATGCGCGGGGCCGGGGCGGTACTGCGCATGCGCGGGGCAGGGGTGGTAGTGTGCATGCGCGGGCCGAGGCGGGCGGTAGTGCGCATGCGCGGGGCCGGGGGTAGTGCGCATGCGCGGGCTGAAGCGGTACTGCGCATGCGCGGGCCGGGGTGGTACTGCGCATGCGCGGGGCAGGGGTGGTAGTGCGCATGCGCGGGCCGAGGCGGTAGTGCGCATGCGCGGGCTGAAGCGGTATGCGCATGCGCGGGCCGGGGTGGTACTGCGCATGCGCGGGGCGGGGTGGTAGTGCGCATGCGCGGGGCAGGGGTGGTAGTGCGCATGCGCGGGCCGAGGCGGGGGGGTAGTGCGCATGCGCGGGGCCGGGGCGGTAGTAGTGCGCATGCGCGGGCTGAAGCGGTACTGCGCATGCGCGGGTCGGGGTGGTAGTGCGCATGCGCCGGGCAGGGGCGGTACTGCGCATGCGCGGGACCTGGGCGGTACTGCGCATGCGCCAGGTCGGGGCGGTAGTGCGCATGCGCGGGCTGAAGAGGTACTGCGCATGCGCCGGCCGAGGTGGTACTGCGCATGCGCGGGGCAGGGGTGGTAGTGCGCATGCGGGCCGAGGCGGGGTACTGCGCATGCGGGGGCCGGGGCGGTACTGCGCATGCGCGGGGCAGGGGTGGTAGTGCGCATGCGCGGGCCGAGGCGGTAGTGCGCATGCGCGGGCCGGGGCGGTACTGCGCATGCGCGGGCCGGGTGGTACTGCGCATGCGCGGGGCAGGGGTGGTAGTGCGCATGCGCGGGCCGAGGCGGTAGTGCGCATGCGCGGGGCAGGGGCGGTAGTGCGCATGCGCGGGCCGAGGTGGTAGTGCGCATGCGCGGGCAGGGGCGTAGTGCGCATGCGCGGGCCGAGGTGGTAGTGCGCATGCGCGGGGCCGGGGCGGTAGTGCGCATGCGCGGGCTGAAGCGGGTACTGCGCATGCGCGGGCCGGGGTGGTACTGCGCATGCGCGGGGCAGGGGTGGTAGTGCGCATGCGCGGGCCGAGGTGGTAGTGCGCATGCGCGGGGCAGGGGCGTAGTGCGCATGCGCGGGCCGAGGTGGTAGTGCGCATGCGCGGGGCCGGGGCGGTAGTGCGCATGCGCGGGGCTGAAGCGGTAACTGCGCATGCGCGGGCCGGGGTGGTACTGCGCATGCGCGGGCAGGGGTGGTAGTGCGCATGCGCGGGCAGGGGTGGTAGTGCGCATGCGCGGGCCGAGGCGGTAGTGCGCATGCGCGGGGCCGGGGCGGTAGTGCGCATGCGCGGGGCCGGGGCGGTAGTGCGCATGCGCGGGCTGAAGCCGTACTGCGCATGCGGGGCCGGGGTGGTACTGCGCATGCGCGGGGCAGGGGTGGTAGTATGCGCATGCGCGGGGCCGAGGCGGTAGTGCGCATGCGCGGGGCCGCGTCGGTTGTGCGCATGCGCGGGGCCGGGTCGGTAGTGCGCATGCGCGGGCCGGGGCGGATGTAGGGTTGGACAACTTCCGGTGGCTATATTGTTAGCATTAAAAGGCTTGGAAAATGGCTCAGTCTCGGCGCAGTTGTTTTCGTTCAGTCCCTGGTTGTTCATGTGGGGCAAGAAAACAGCCTTATCATGCGTTCCCGACGGACCCGGACCAACGGAGGCAGTGGATCCAGGCGATCCGAAGAGATTAAAGGTCCGGAGTTTTGCATAAAGACGGGGAGTACTTTCGTATGTAGCCGCCACTTCACACCGGAGAATTTTGTTAGCGGATCCACCACCAGCCGCCTTAGAAGTGGAGCTGTTCCTTCCCTGTTTGCCTGGAATAACGTCACTGCACCGGCAATGAGAGAGTCTGCTTTCGAGAGGGATAAGAAACGGCAGTTTGTCCTCTCAGAAACTAGCCAGGCTGAAGATGCTACTGCGGACCACAACTAGACGGCACATCCACCGCAGGTAAAAGATAGTATATTGTATATCTTTTCCATGTAAGAGAATTTCAGTAAAATATAATCGTTGCTATATTATTATTATTATTATGATATTATGTGATTATGTATTTTGTGGAGAGATTAAGTCAATGGCTGTAAACATACATGCTTCGACTCACAACATGTATTGATCTTCACAGAAGTAATGTTTCAAAGATATAATTAAAACTTATTGCTAACCGTATGTTTTGCTATTTTATTTTGTGGTTTTACAGGTGCACTTGATGAAGCTCTGGATTACAGTATATTAAGGAGTTGGATGCCAGACTTCAAAAAGTGGATTTGTCTGCCACACTTTTTAGCCGCTACTGTGCCTCTCATGTCCAGATCTAAATGTGTGTTCCGGATCTTCTGGGAGTCCATTGCTCCCTCTGCATCACGCCTGGTGTTCTGGACCAGAGCACAGAAACTTGGAGAGGAAGCATGTGCTGAAGCCAGCCCTGCCCGCTGCATGCCTCTGATTGATGAGTTCCTGATGTTCTCATTCAGGGTAGCAGTGGGCATGAAGGAGCAGCTCATTGCCGACATGTTTTCAAGTCAGTATAGCTACTGTCAGCCGAGTGACCATCAGCTGGGCCAACTACCTCTTCATTGTGTTCTCTTCCATCAACTTGTGGATTAGTCATGAGAAGGTAAAGCCAGTATGCCTCAGAAATTTCTGAAGTTTTTCTCCAAATGTCCGTGTCATGTTGGACTGCACAGAAGTTGCTCTGGAAACGCCATCATCCCTCACTTACAGTCTGAAACGTTCTCTGCCTACAAGAACCACACCACTCTGAAAGGGCTGATTGGAGTTGCTCCCTGTGGGTTGGTGACATTTATTTCAGCGTTGTACACAGGCTGCATCTCCGACAAAGAAATAACGAAGGTCAGTGGAATCCTTCCTCTGCTTGAGCTGGGAGATGAAGTCATGGCAGATAAAGACTTCCTCATTCAAAACCTCCTTCATGAAGTTGGAGCCAAACTCATCATTCCAACATTTAGGCATCCTGGTCAGTTCAGCAAGAAAGAGACAGAGGAGACCCAGACCATTGCTCGGCTGCGGATCATTGTAGAGCGCAATCGCTAGAGCAAAGTGCTACCACATCTGGGATTCTTACTTTAATAGGAACTGTCAATCAAATCTGGAACAACTGTTGTGTTTTGGCAAATTATCAAGGGCCATTTTGTGTTGCAGACTAAATTATTTCTGTATGTTAATTGTTGTAATGCTATGTAAAAAGTTAAATGTCTAGACTTTTGCAAAAAATATTCAATTAAAACACACTTGCCGTGAAATAGGTCTATTGATTAAAGGTAGCATCCCTAAGCAAGCAATAAAAAATATCAATGTTTTGTGAAAAATACAGCAGTATTTGTTTGTACAACATGTAGAAAAATGCTCAATAGGATTTTATTTTGCTCTGATTTGACTGTATGGAGTGTGTCTCCACCTTGTGGTAAATGTCCAATAACACGATGAGGGTTTGAGATTTAGACGGACTCATAACTACCAGAGATTAAACCTTCTGACTGCACAAACAATAATCATTAAACTGTTAACAGACAAATTATTTTCACTTTGAAGTCTTTACTGACAAAAATGTTGAGTTTTAGAATCATTAAAGTCATCTTCAGCAATATAAATCAAGAATTTATGAACAATTTCCAAACTTTTCTTTGAACTGCCTGTTAATTTATTTTCAGTATAGTTCTTTACCATCTGTTACACTGGGAGCTGTGGAGTGGAAGGAAATAAATCAGCAAACTTGGCTGTACAATAAACAAAGCTGGTTTATTAGGCCTCCAGCATCATAACACAGTTCAAAATGGCAGCTTTCCCACCAGTCAGTCTCTGCTAGAGTCCACCTATATACTGGTTATCCCCACCATCTCAATTTACCCCCAGCCAATCAAACTCCATACATCCCAGCTCCTTCTATGAAAGAGCTGGGATTGAGGCGAGCCTCTTCCTAAGCAGGGTTCCAAGATGGCCACTCCAAGGACACCCTCAAAAGGTAACAAATATCTCACAGACAAAGGATCATATACACACATTCTAGAATTCAAACATTACAGAAAACCTTTTTGCTTCTTAACACCATCTTTAAAGAATATTATAATGTTTTCTGATGTTTCAAGTGATAAAACACCTCTGCAGTCAGCAGCATCAGCAGGACTATGGAGAACTTGACTGCATCCTGAGGAGATAATTCAGCCATTTGATTCATATGTGTTAGATCATGGGACACATCTAGAAGTTGCAGGACTTCAGCCCTCAAGGCCTGGATTTGAAGACCGTTGATCTAAAGCAGGCAGGGCAGTGTGCTTTATAGACCAGGGTAGGGAAACATTGTTTCAACCTAGAAATAAATTCAATCAGACAGCATAGCAATCATATATATATATATATATATATATATATATATATATATATATATATATATATATATATATATATATATATATATATATATATATATATATACATATATATATATATATATATATATATATATATATATATATATTTTTTTTTTTTTTTTAATATTCTTTTTTATATTTTTAAAATATATACTATTTTTTTCAGTTATAAAGATTATTGTTTAGAGCTGATAGGTATAAATAAGACAAATATTTAATTACAAAAAGCGGAACGTTGCTTTAACTCTATTTACAGAACTTAATTTCCCATGATGCAGAGTACATTTCTTTTTGACGGAAATGACGTCTCGCGGCTTCCTTTCTGTCAAGGGCACTGGAAACTGTTTGAAGCCTAGCAGCTGTAGTCTGCACGTGAAGCCGTAAACCAGCGTAATAACTTATCTATTTTGAACCGGACAGTGGTAGAGATGGACGGGTTCGGGTCAGATTTCTCAGCAGCAGGGTCCGGCGGGAAAATGGACGCCGGGACCATCATGGAGCAGGTTAAGGTCCAAATCGCGGTGGCTAACGCTCAGGAGCTTCTACAGGTAAACCAATGAGTCTCTGATGCTAAGCTAACAAGATACATTTAAGCTGTGTGTTACGTGTGATTGCCACTGCACATGTATTTTTGATACAGCCACTCCGAACGCCTGTAAAATGTTACAATGACCACTGTTTTTATGCTTCAGAGAATGACTGATAAATGCTTCAAGAAGTGTATAGGAAAGCCTGGAAGCTCATTGGACAATTCTGAACAGGTATGAGTTCAGAAAGTTTTTCTTTTATTACACCCCTCACCGACTCAGAAGTTTGTATAAACTTTGTGTATTTTTTTTTTTGTTGTTTTTATTTATTTCTGTATCTGCTTATGGCGCAAGCTAACTAAGATCTCAAAGCGTCAAATTTGTAGTTTATGTTCAAGGTTCATTCTTTAAATGATGCCTTATGAATATCACATTTTAACAAGTATTTTTTAAATTAAGCATTAGAAGGATTTTAAAGTAGTTGCAAAATGTAACTATACATTACATAAAGTAATGCAATGTGTAATGACTATCTGATATCATATATTACATAGCCACATATTTAATGTTGCTACTTCTTGTGACTTATTTTCAATATACATTTTAACAATAAGTCAATGCACTGACTCCTGACATTACACTGAAACATTTAATTTCAGACATGACCGTCAGACAAAAGGAATCTGAGAAATAAACCTCGGATTCAATTTATTTGATACATAATAATGCAATAATTAATTATAAGTTGAGCGTTTTTCTTTTCTTTGTCATAACAACTTGTGCTGCACAACATTTCAAATAGCAACATTCATTGCAATATATATCTGTCAAAGGAATTCAGCATTGATCATAAATCTTAGGGCTTTCTTTTCCCTTTAAAAACAGAACTTAAACATCTCTCTTACAAGATGCTGCACTTGTTTTATTTCTTTTTTTTCCCCCCTCTCAGAAATGCATCGCCATGTGCATGGACAGATATATGGACGCCTGGAACACTGTGTCCCGAACATACAACTCCAGGCTGCAGAGAGAACGAGCTCGAATGTGAAAAATCTTCAAAACACGCTACCTCCTTCTCTTTGTCGGGTCGCTGCCGCTAGAATGAGGACCTGCACAGTGCAGCAGTGGAGCAGGTGTACGTCAGCAGCACAACACCCCCTCATCTGCCACAGTCATAGACAGATGAGGCCTGTGGACTCTGACCCGCAACGGAATCTTTGTGGACATTTTTATTTTTACTTTTGAGGAAAAGTTTGCCAATACAGTTTAATTATTCCTGTTGTATGTAATAAATGCAGTAGCAGATGGTTCAAAGGCTGTTGTTTAACTGGGAAAACAATCAGACTGGACATAAACACTTTACATGCTGACAAGGGTACATTGAAGGAAAAACAGAAGAAAACGAAGCCACACAGGTGGAGCTCTTTATTTGGAAATCTAAACCCTGTCAAATCCCCTGCTAGAAACTATGCATTTACACTCTATGAATCACACATGCCACTCAATATCTATGCATCTTTTAAATTGATTTCCCCTGCAGCTACATCCTCCTCAGACGCTCACAAATCTGGCTTAGACTAAGTTGGCTGACAGTTGATGTGTTAATGTTTTTGGCTAAAGCTTGCTAACTCCACTCTGCAGGTGGAGAGGATTTCACCTGAGAGGATTTCAGAATGCCACTGAGGCTCAGAGCTAAAACATAAACAAGCAAAACCTTTATAATAAACATAATGTGGACCTGTTGGCAACATTAACGGTAACTTTAAAGTCTCATAACTGACATTCACAGCCCTCCAGGCAGCCTATATCAAGCTACAGCAGAACAAAACTGTTTTGTTTGACATGTTTCCTATGTGTTACTCTAGCTGCTGCCCTTCCACAGTGGTGGGCTTGTTTCAGCTGGGCTCTGCTTCACACAGTCAGGATACAGCACCGTTCTGAGCTCTGTGTGTGTAGCTGCTCAGGCATACAGGGAAGTACAACCCACCTGCATAGTTTGAGTTAGTGAAGACTGTAAGCACCGATTGCAGAGGAATTGTGTTCAAAAAGAAATTTTAATTGAATAAAAAAAAGAATAAATCTGGTTAATCAGGTTTCTGTGCATCTCATCAAGTATGATTGTAAGAACACTACAGGTTTTATTTATAAAGCTCAAGTTAGTCTAAGTATTTTTTTACACACTTTCCAAAGAAAACCCATCTTTTCTTAAAAATATGACACTGAACTTCTAAAGAAAAATGAACCTATAAATGAACAGTACACAGTTCATCAACAGGCTTGAACACCAGCTGAATGTTTGTGCACCCATACCTCTATAACAACCTCAGGTAAATTTGCTAACTGGGATAGATGAGTAAAAAGCCTGTAGTAGCTTAATCTTACTGAAAACTATTTTCAAAGCATCCATCTTTAAAAAATAAATTACCTCTAAAGGTGAGATACGGAGGCAATCATATTTAAGAAATGAGGAAGAACTATAATATTACTGCACATCCCTGTTGCACAATCAGGTTTTTATAACGGCCTCCATATAAAAACTTGGAGGCCAAAAAAATTTGTTTTTTGTGCCATACCTGAGACATTAATATTGTGTAGAAAGGTGCAACTTTGCAGGAGATCAGAACATCCCTTTAAATGTCAGGATGCAGGGATCTCCAGCATCATGCAGCACTGCAATAAGTGGATCCAGGCTGGTCAGTGTACACTCAGAAAGCCACACAGTATAAAAATAAAAGAAACAGCACCCTTACCAGTATTCATACCTATCAGGAAAATAAATAATAAATAATTGTAATCATGCAACTGTTGGTAGAGTTACCCACAGCTGATGATTGCTTCATCAGTACATGTTGAATGGTAAAGGTTAGGCTATTGCACAGTGTTGCAAACAGCACCCATGACAAACAGGTCAGTGTTTTTTTTTAGCTGAGGAAATGTTTATCTGGCCTTTGGCATGACTTTAGTCCTTGTACAGTATAGAAACGTGGAGAATATGTATCAGTAAAATCCACTTTTTCTGCAAGTTTTTCTTTACAGACAGTTTTTTCCCCTCCCTCATCAGAAAGGTAGGTATGTTGATATCCATTTCCTAACCGAGGTCACCCGAGTATAAACCCCTGGAAAACCAGTTCGCCCACATCCGTGTCCCCAGCTGGTCACACCGGCGATGAACCACGGGCCAGAGTGATGGCGGCACGTTAACGGCCCACCAGAATCCCCCTGGAAACATCAAGAGTTTGGTTATTTAAAGCAAAAATACAAATGGCCTAATTTTTAGGTCTCTGGCAAATAAAAGGGGAACTTTGGGCTATTTCTGGCACCTGACTACAATTTACAGGTAACACAATGGACATTTGGAAAAACTAGAGCAATATTGTTATTTTTTTATTATTTATTTTTTTAAAAAAATGAAAAAATAATAGAGGAGTACATATACAAGAAGTATATGTTTTTAGCAACCATATTTTTTAGCTTTTGTTTTCATTTTAAACTTAATATCCTTTAACATTTGGTCAACCAGACTTTGAATCACCCTTTATTTAAAGTTGGCAAAATACAGCAAAAAATGCTTTTTGGAGAGAGAGTAAAGCAAACTCTTAAGACCAAAGAAATGATTTTTTTCTATGTTTTAAAAAATGCAAATTCCTGAAACTTATTTTTGCCTCAGCTACAAATAAAAGGAACAAATATTTTTTTCTAAATCTGTAGACTATTTTTTTGGTTTTAGTAAAATAAAAAAACAAAACAAAACAAAAAAAAAACATTTAGACTTCATTTATTTTTGAGCAAGAGAAAAAGAATATCAAAAATACAGCTCTGGAAAAAAATATGAGATATCAGTTATTCCACCAAAACATTCATACTGTTTTCATAAATTATTATGAACTTGTTTTCTTTGCATTATCTGAGGCATAAAAGCGCTGCATCTGTTTTCTTATTTTGATCATTTCTCATTTTCTGCAAATAAGTAGTACGTTTTTGCTTGGACTTTCAGAAACACATTGTTAGTAGTTCATAGTAATTTTTCTGTACGCCAAGTTTTAGTGTGAGAACTGCAGACTCTTTTGTGCATGAGGCCCCAGATGCTTTGACTAAGGCAGGAATGCATTGAGTTTTTATTTTTTTTTTCAATAAAAGTACAATTAAACAAGGTTAGATCTGCCTAAGGCGTTTCAAACAAGCCAACTTTGACCACATTCTTCTTTCTTCTCTAATGTCTTGTGACTTCATTCTGCCATATTTGGGTTTCCAAAGTCCTAGAAACCTTTAAGGTATGAAGGGAGAGCTTCACGTTGCTCTCACTGAACTACTCAACCAATGTTTATAAAAGGGCCCAACTTTCCATCGCCCCTGAGAGCTTCCTGTTACCGCCCAGAAACTGCCAAGAGTGGACCACCCAGAAGTTTGGCATATAAACAAGCACAGATATGTTTCTTTTTAAAATGATGACACATGGTGTTTCTTACCAGGCAGGTGTCCCGTCCTCCCTCCATGAATCCGGCACACATCATACTGGGAGTCAGCAAGTTGCCATATGACAGCTGACAGTGTTCCTGATCAATGATGTTCACTGCAGCTTTCTGCAGCAGATTGGTCAGAGAGCCTGGGGGACATATTTATCCTCACCGGATCAATATTATTCAAAAATGGTGCAAAAATGTCAGTGTAGCAAATATAGTGGTATTATTTATTAAATTTCATAAAGAAATGCATTGTGAAAAGTATTTTATACCCAGTCATATTTAATAAATTAGGAGGTGTGTTCTGATGAGGCTCATTTGTCAGATTAAAAGTGTCTTTTGAGAATTGACAACCTTTATTAAGGCTACCTGTCTGTGTTAAAGATGTTTTTTTCTTTTTATTGGTTTTATGTAATATTTTAATTTTAAATGATATGCTTTTGTTAACTGTGTGGAAAGTTATCGTAATTAACAGAATTAATGGCTTTCAAACATTCAATTGTGTGTAATTAGTTAATATAATACATTATTCAATAATATTCCATTTTACTGAGTCTGAAGAACAGCTGTAGTTTTTTCAATGTAAAAACATAGAAGTTTTTTAGCACTCCTAGGGAAGTATAAAAAGAACATTTAAAAGAATTACTCTTGTTTCAGTTCATAAAATTTTAGAAACATTAAACTTTTGATTCAGGTATTTAATAAAAAGGGTGAAAATGCCACAAATATTTAATGATAATAATTATCAAAATGTTCAAACCTTTTATCCAATTTAAACTACAATATTCATCATAATATCTATAATTTGGACATGCATAACCTTAAATTGTGCTGAGGTGCTTCACCCAATCAGTAATGTTGATAGACATTACTGATTATTTCAAACTCTTGAGGATAGTTTTCAGTGTTACCGGGTATAATTTCAATGTGGGAATTACCTTTTCACATAGGGTGAGTTTAGCTTGGATTGTTTTTTTTTCGGATAATAGTAAAAATAATCATTGTGGATATGCAGGAATTATTTTATATTAAAATTTGTTTGATTATCAAAAGTATGCAACATAAATAAGTTTTGTGTGACTCTCACCTCCTTCCTTCATGGATCCCCAGCCTGTGATGTAGCACTCAGAGTTCTGCAGGAAGAGATGCACCGGCGAGGGAAGACACACCAGCTGGACGGTGTAGGACACCGGGGCCGGGACTGCCAGCTCCACCAGAGCCACGTCATGGTCCATATTGGTGCCGTTGAAAGCCGGGTGGATGACCACTCTCTGTATGGGAATAACCAACGCGCCTAACCCAGACCGCAGCACAGACCCGAGGCTTACAGCCCACTCAGTGGGGCTAGAATCACTATGGATGAAAACCATGAAATAAAACTGTTAGTTGAGGCCTTTTATTATAGTTTAAAACTTGGAGATATTTGTACCTGTTAAAACAGTGTGCAGCAGTCAGTAACCACTTCTTGTGAATGAGCGTGGTGCCACAGCGATGTTGTTTCTGGTACTGCAGACTGCCAGTCCACGGCCACTCTCCCCGCCGAGCCGTGACTCCACCTATGATCCGCTGAACGTCCAGAGCAGGACGAACACCGCAGTCTGGAGCAAAGACATAGCTCAAGTACCAGGTTGTCGAAACCCAACATTCACTGTGTTTTACAGCCATAAACATTACCACAGTTTTTCTCGTCAGCTTCATTGGGGCAGTCGGGGATTCTGTCACACTCTGGGTTGACTTTACTGATGCACAAACTGGAGCCACATTGGAAGTTCTCACTGCAGTTTATGGCTGGAATACATCAGAGCATTCATGTCATGGGTATGCGGTTATTTGTAATAAGAAATAAATTCCCAGTTTTGATGGCCACATTACCAGGTTGGGGGAGTCCAGTAGGTTCATCCATTGCCATGCTCTGAGGCACTGGGAGGCTCCCAGAGGACTTACTGGTCAACGGGGCTGGTGTTGTTGGAACAGGCTTTACCTGGTCATTGACCAAAGCTGGATCTGTGTATTTTAGAATGAAGTTTCTGAGCTTGGTGACGCGGGCGTAAACTCCAGGCCTGTTGACCTGGGCACAACCCACACCCCAGCTCACCACCCCGGCCAGAAAGAACCTCCCAGGTCCACCCTCGCACACAAGGGGCCCTCCAGAGTCACCCTGCAGGTCAGAGACACGGAACTGGGTTTAACTGAACGAATCCTGCCAGAAGTTTGTCTAGCACAAAATCTTAAATTGAAATTCCTGAATCTTATAACGTTTTCTTTACAGAGGCTAATAACCATTGTTAGCCTCTGTAGTTATTAGCCACAGTGCTCTTATACAGGACAATATCCTATAAGAAGTTGTCCTTATTAAGATAGCAGATAATCACAACAACTCTACCCATAGGATTTGTTTTAGGAATGAATCACCTTTGATCCCAGAGATCTTCAAAAAAAGCTGCAGGACAAAATTGGAAAATTGTAAACTCCACTTTATGTGAGCTTCCACTGACCTGACAGGAGTCCACCTTCCCCTGCAGAAATCCAGCACACATCATTTTGTGAGTAATAGCACCTCTGTACACAGACGACTGATTGCACGTCTCGGAGTCTATGATCTTGACCAACGCTTTCTGCAGCGTGTTGGGGACATGTGCTGAGCAACAGAAGAAGAACAGCGCAAATCAATACGTGACTTAGTAAAGTCAAAAAAATTTTCAAATAGGTTTCTAGTTTTAATTAGTGTGAACATGAGAAAAATAAATGCAGGCCAAAAAAACAATACTTATTGAAGGAACATTGATGTCACAAGGCAATATTTAGGACACCATGTTGCTATAAACATAAGTCTAATATTAATGTTAGTTGTGTGCTGTTTTAAATCATGGATTTGATGGAATTAAAGTGTTTGCATGTGTGCAAACTCACTGCTAAACTGCTGCAGAGCGCCCCACCCAGACACAATGCAGCTCTGACCCGGCTGAAAGACGTGGGACTGAGGGGGAATGCAGACAGGCTGGATGTAGGAGTTGAAGGTGAGGGGCGTCTCCAGCTCCAGGACAGTCACATCGTTGTTGCTGGTCATGGGGTCGTATTCAGGGTTGACAATTATCGACTTGATGTTGATAGTTCTCGACTCGGCCTCTAGGCCGTTGGCCAGGTTGGCTCCAACCAGTGCTGTCCATTCACTGGGATTGTTGGCACTGAAATGGGAAAAGATACAAACCTTGGAATATGTTCAAGGCTTGGAAAAATCTAAAATAAATAATCCCACACAAGTAAAATACCCTTCAAAGCAGTGTGCTGCACTGACGATCCAGCGCTCGTTGATGATGGAGGCTCCACATGTGTGCCTCCAGTGGTACCTCAGGCTGACCTGCCAGGGCAGCTCTCCTTGCCGGGCGTCCTCACCACCAACTATCCGACTCCTCATTGCCGGGCGTAAGCCGCAGTCTGTTCAGGATCAACAGGAGGAGACCTGTATTTGTAATGCGTGCTGCATTTTCTGAAAACTGTGCCTGCTTGATTTTGACTGAGTGTAACAAACACTTTTAGTCTGAAGCTGCTTACCACAGCGAGCCTCATCAGATGCATCTGCACAGTCGGGGATGAAGTCACACGCTGGGTTTCTTTTGGAAATACATTCCCCGTTTTCACAGGTGTAAACATTTTCTGGACACCTTGCTGAAAATCCCAGATGCAAGAGAAGGGAATTAGATGAGTGTGGAAGAGAGTGACTTTATAAGAGAGACGGGCAATAAAATATTTTAAAAGGAATCCTGAAATCTTAAGAGAAAGAGCAGAAGAAGCACATAGTTATATGTAGCCAGTTAAAGTATTCATATCTCTTGATGTTTTTCACATTTTATTTTGTTACAAGCACAAAATCAAATGCTTTTGATCAGGGTTTAAAGGTCCAAAATGTATGCACATAAGAATCTAAGAAAGTTCAGCTCTCTCGAGTCAATACTTCATAGTACAGACTTATGCTGCAGGCTTTGTGGGACTGGTGTATAACAACTTTCCACATCAAGAAATGTAAATCTGAGCCCATTCTTTTCCCAGACTGTCAATGTTACATTTGTCCCAGGCAATGACTATTACTCTGATTTAAACTTTGTCACAACTTTCCCCCTAAATTATCTTCTATGTGCGCCGGTCTTCATTTTCCTGTCTGTTAACTGATGTAACTTTGTGTTTGTTTGTAATGTGTATTGTCTCCATCATTTCACTTCCACTTCATAACTGTACACCATGTCCTTTATCACATAAAATCCTTCCAAAATTATGAAGGTTTGTGTTTGTGTCCCATGACAAAATGTAAAAAGTTAAATATATGTATGTATTAAAACAGAATATTTCGAAAATTCAAAGAGATTTTCAGGACGAGAGAACAAAAAAAACCTAATAACTCACCTATCATCTCATCTCCAATTACATAAAATGACTTCCCGCTGGCTCCTGTTGGAAATGAAACATTTAGCTCTGATATCCCCATTTTTCTTACTTGCTCATCCTCATCATCACGATGATAGTTACCCAATACGACAATAGCGCTGATCTGTCCAAACCCAGGCACCTCTAGTGGTTCCCCATGCAACACAGAGCTGAGCCCTGCTCTCAGCAGCTCTTGAACAAAGTTACTTGAATACTGCTGGATTTTGGATACCCTGAAGAACAGTCTTAATGTTGCCATCACATCACCATGTATGCTACTGTAAAAGAGAGGAAAATCAGCACGCTTCAGTGTGTTATCTTGAACAGTTTCTCTTGGTTAAACTAAATCTTTTACTTACCCAAAAGCAATAATACTGCAGCCATCATAATGTTTTGATATTGATGAGGCAGTGAAGATATCTTTAACCTGAAATAGCAAAACAAATCACAATTTCATCCTTCTGTATAAATGTTTCTATTTTTTTTAACCATATGTCATTTCAGCCCTCACTTTGGACTTTAAAGCTGAGGAAAGCATTATAGAGAAACCAGAGTTTCCATCCTCCAGATCAGAATTGTACTTGAGTCCTTTCAGCTCCACGGTTTCCAAGAAATCATGCTGTTCCTCCATCAGGTATGCTGCCAGCGAAAGAGGGAAAACGTTAGCTTTCAATTAAAACAAAAGAAGCATAGGAAACAGCAGATTATTATCTCCATTAGAAGACTTTACATAGTAGGATGCACAAAGGTATTCATCACAATACAGTCATGTGAAAAAAAAGTAGGGCACCCCACAACAACCTGCATGTGTTACTAAAGGGAAGATGGGAACTTTAAAAACGTTGTGTGAAATAAAACCAATTTTTTGTAGTTATAAAGTAGGACACAACTACATTTGCAATAAGTAGTTCACATGTTGAGCTCAGCTGATGCTGAGTGTTTGCTAATTGCAGCTGTCACTAGTCTGTAGGAGCTGAATGGGGAAGAGGAATGGAGGGGGCTCTGTGAGGCAGAAGCCTGGCTTGGAAAAGGAGGTTTGTGAAAACAAGCATTTAGGGACTCCCTGAAACATTTAGGAGACTCATTGATTTCTCATACATGCATGAAAGAATTAAAGCTTCCAAGTATGTTTTTCAAGAGGGAATAACATTATAACATGTTGTAGTACTCAAAAAAAGGTCAATTTTACATAGTATTGATCCCTAAATGGAAAATTCTTTTTTTTTTTTTTTACAATTATGTAACTGGTGTCAATGGAACAAAAAAACAACAACTGTATTTTATAAATAAATATAACTATATAAACTCTTGTGACTCACCAATAGCGAGGCCTGCAAAGATGCCAACAATAAGGAAAAAGATGATGCAGACTGCAACAATGCCTTTATGACAGCCGGGGTTAGAGGGTGAGGGTGACCAAGACCCTCCACTGCCATCCTTACTGACGTCCATCTTGGACTCCCAGGTCCAGCGTCACATTCAACTGTCTTCACAGTGACGGGTGTATAGAGTGAACCGAGCCGAAGGATAAACAGAAACACACTAAAATAAACCAGACAAGAAGAGATTTCCATCAGCAGCCAAGACACAGAGGAGACAAAATGGAACTTTGTGACCTACATGTTTAATGCTGTTTAGTTGATGTTGCATTTTCCCCTGATTACACACCACTCTCACAATAACACATGGTGTTAGTAGTATCATGCTATGGGGATGCTTTAGATCAGTACACAAGATGAAGATGGACAAAGTTGAATAAAAGAGGGGACTAAATACGAGGTAATCTGTAACAAAACTTATAGGAGGCAGCAAAATAGTCATGACTGGAGTGGAAGCCCACCTTCCAGCAGGATAATAACCCTTAACATGCAGCCAAAGCAACAATGAACCGCTTTAGGTCAATGTTTCTCAACCCTGGTGTGTGGAACTTTCCTTCCTGCAACACACCTGACTTAAATAAAGGACTGATTAGCAAGCTTCAGCAGCACATGATGCATGCAGAGACTCTAAAACATGAGTAGGTTCAGAAACACTGGTTTAGATCAAAGCATATTCATAAGTTAGAATGGCCTACTCAAAGTCCAGACATTTATGTAAGAATATGTGAGTATTTGCATTCTTCGTTTAATCAAACCTAGCTTCAAAAATTTTGCCAGGAATTTGTAAGGTAATGAAGTAGAAAAAGAAAAATTAACCCCCCCCCCAGTAGGAAAAGTATTTCAAATAAAAAACCAGAGTGCTTTATTTTGCATGATAAAAAGGCTAGGTTTTAAATTGCCATGTGCGCTTTTCAGCTAAACAGAGAATAATATGAAACTTTAAGCTTAATTCTTATACATCGTTTTAAAATGGCTGATTGAAAAACAGGTAAACTCTTGAGAATAAAACACTAAGAAGTGCAGGCAGAGGTCTGTGTAAAGAATACCACAGAGGCCATGATGTTCACCAATAAATGGACCAGATGTTCCAAAACAGTTTTTTTGTCCTGAATGATGTCTTTCTCATTGACTGAATGACAATCACCTTGAGCAACAATAAAAACAGCCAGGACTTTCTGCTGCCTGCAGCAGCCGCACTCACCTCTTTCTTCTGTCATTACTTTGCGAGGCGAAGACAAAGATGACCCACAGTTCTCTCCGGAGCAGAGGCACAGATGGAGGACAAGGGGGAATTGGGCTAAGCAGGTCCGTTATTTGTTGCCCCCGAGCTGCAGGGGGTCAGGTCCTTACGACTCAGGAAAGTCACCGCTTCTGTTTACTCTAACAGGTTAAATTCAGCCTCAGAAATCCCTGCTTGGATCTGTGTCCATCCGTCCTGATCCCGTTTGGTCCCACTCAGGTGTACACAGGGGTTCCTCCTGTCACCTGTGATCTCCCATAGTTTCCAGGAAAATTTCAAACGCCCACTAATCCATCATTACAATAAAACTGTGGTAAAAATGTGATAAATAATAAAAAGCAGATATTTAGTGTAGCTCCTTGTCCTCCTCCACAGAGCAGCTTTTGCTCTATTGACACAGTGGCTGAGCAGCAGAGGAGGGGCGAAGCCTGAAAGAATTTGGCCGTTTTATTGCACCATTTTTACTCCTAGCTCCTGAAAACCCATCAGACTTGCAGAGGAGTACAGCTTCTGCAAGTAGTACAAATTACATTCAAACCGGGCCTCCTCTTTTAGAAAAAAACCCCTCCTTTTATTCACTAAGGCATCCATACCAATGTTACCTTCAAAGGAACAATCCAAAAATGAGCATTGCTACCTAATCCCTCGCCCCTCCTTAAAGCGATTCTGTCTTAAAGTGGCCAATACCACAAATGTGTCTTTGTGTGTGGACAAGCTTGAATGGCTTATCTTCAAACACAGAAACTCCCCTCTAAAGATCATCATTAAATTCTTCTGTTACTGCATGAAAAGGTGAACTCAGTGGTCTGTTGACAGGTCACTGAGCTCACTGCTGCTGGGAACCACCACAGGTACATTTCAATAACTTTATTTTAGTAACGCAGATCAAACAGGCTTGTGTATTACACAGATCAATTACACATTTTCAGTTTGCAAAATGGATAACTGTAGCCTTCAAACATATGAAACAAAGTCTATTCAAGTTTGGAGGAGAGACATAAGAAGTGGGTTTTTTAAGAGTGAAACCCTCACTAACTCTGAGATGGACTTCGGCTGTTGTGTACCCCATGTCAAAATACTTTTTAATCAGAGACAGGGCAGAATGGTCTTTCCTAGACTAATGATTAAAATTAAATGACTATGGTTCAGTTTTCTGAAGTTCTCTTTTCAGATTAAATTAAATTTGAAAACAGGAAAACATGGCTCCAAACTCTGGAAGAAGGACTAAATCCAAGTAGATTGAGGCCTAGAGTGACATTGGAACAGTGAATGACGGTTTTGGGATCAACATCATCTTCTGGTGTTTATCTACTTGATTCAGTCCAATCATATTAAGTCATCCACCGGAATTTTTTTTAACTTATGCTTCATTAGTGTACTAATGAATCCTGATAAACGTTTTCCATTGGGACTTGGCACCAGTCCCCACTGACTTTAAACCTGTAGAGGTTAAGCGATGCAGATGAGCCAAAGGCAGCTCTTAAAGAAACCATAGGTTCCACGTTACAGAACATTAATGCAAGAGCACCAAAGACCAGGTTGCACAAGCATGTACTTTAAGTAGACTAATATCTTAGCTGGAACCTTTTATCCTTAAAATTAACAGTTACCACTTGAAACACATCATTGTGTTTGAGATGCATATGTACAAATTACTCATGCCAGACCCTGGCTTTTCTGGTAAATTTGTACAGAAAAGTGACTTATAACACCCAGCAAAATTAGATTTTCCACTTTATTTTCTTATCAAAAACAAAGAATTATAAAAGATACTACAAATAAAATAAAATTGTCACGTTAACGCTTCCCAGACTTTTGGGGTCTTTACAAACAAAACTGCAACATTTGCACACTAGAGGTGAAGTGCATTTGATTCATTTTGTGGTAGATTTTTAACTTAAGTCAACAAGTTTGTTTTATGAACTAGAACTGTCCTGTAATGGGTTTAAAAAAAAGAAAAAAGAATGAAACCATGAACAAACAAAAAAAGATCAAGTATGTGCCACTAAGCAGCTAACGAGAGAGTTAGCCATCCTGCTGCTGTATGAAGGGGTTTGGTATGGCCTCCATGCCATCCTGAGGACAGATCAGCACTACGGAGGTTCCTCTGCAGACCACCAGCCCCAGCTGCCGGGTGTCTTCTGTCAGCTTCAGCTGGTCATCTGGATCTACACACAGATTCACACCAAGTTCAGACTACAAGAATCAGATTGCATTCAGACAAGTAGTTCTGTGTTTGTATTACAGTGTGCATTAAAGGAGGCTTGTGACAAAGATCAGATTTTAAAAGGCTTCTGGTCTTTCGAAGAGATTCCTTTTCCATAGCAGTAAGCAAATAAACACAAAAACAATTTTTGCTTAAGAAGATCTGATACAATTAACTTGTTTCTCCAGGAACAGTAATGGTCAATCATGTCCAAATAATAATATAAACCTAACTTCTCTACAAATATTTGCAAATGAAAGAAATTTTACTTTTAAATATGGACATTTTTCTGGTTAGGAACTTTGTTGTCCCCTTTATATATAACCACAAATCACCAAGACCTTCTGACAACACTTAACTACTCTCACAGCAAAACAGTCAAAAGAAAAACATGTATCACATGGATTCTCCATTTAGCAAAACCATCCATATGTGTATGCATAAAACTTTGAGAAAGGGAGCTCTTCCTTTTTACAATGGCTGTATACCAGCGACTTTTTTCTCTCTTCTTTGTGCCCTGGATACAGAACTGAATACAAAGTGATGCCGGGCTGAGCAAGAGATGCAGTCCACTGGTTATTTAAACTCCTCTCATCGTCCACCTACCTCGCATGTACTCAATCGTCCCGTCCAGCACCAGGTTTAGCAGAGGATCAAACCCTTTCAGGACGCCGCTGGCTGGGAAACAAAGAGGCAACAGTGTGTTTAACACCTGACTGAATTCCTTTAGCTCATTTGCACATACAAGCCCCCTACCCTCTCTTCCTCCTTGGAACTTCACGCGAATTGTCTTGTCGATGTATTTAGACAAGTCGAAGATGCTTTCCTTCTTCTTCTTTTCTTTGTCCTGCAGAAACCACAGTTTGGCTGTGTTGTTTTTAAACCACGAAACGCTCAGTTTATTAGCATGAGCTTAGCTTGCTAACAGAGGTAATCACAGATGTAAACAAAGCAGCAGCATAATTACACTGGAAAGCCCGTTCTTCATCTCAACACGCTTACAAGTTGGCAATAAATCCAATAACGTTTTATAATTGGACAGATTAAATAAATGTTAGAACGAAAGCAAACGTGCAACGAACTCACCGCCATGTTAGCTCCGTGACACGGAAGTTAAACTTTGACTCCAGAAACGTAAGACCAATCAAATCACTCGACGTCGGTGGACGACGTCATGAGAGGCACACGCGAAGAATAAATCCGTACTCATGTCTACGCGTGTATACTTTACATTTATTTTGACTTTATTTTAATATTTCTATTGAACAGTAAAAATAGATCATGTTTCCTCAGACTTAAAAATTTTATTTTTCTAATTATTTTTACAGTCAAATGTTAATATTTTGAATTGTTATCATTACGTTGGGCTATGTTTATCACATTTGATAATTTCATACTTCCTCAATAAAAAGGGACATTTAAACCAAACGTTAGATATTTTTGAAGTGGGATATAATATCGCTTAAACATCAAAAACATTCTTCAATGTTATACTTTATTGTACAACTTCAATTAAGATATTACTAGGACAAATTTTTTATCTTTTAAAACACCTATATTTTATTATACTTTATATTTTTTTACTCTATTGGTGGAGTTGAAGCTCTGCTCTTCCAGATCAGTCACAGGGCAGAGTCTATTTATAATCTTGACCTGAGAACCAGTTGGTGTGTTGGGTTGTGAAGTGGGACGCAGACATTAGGCTTGGCTGTGTTGACATGGCCGGAAAAGCTGACAGTGAGCAGGAGACTGAAAGCTGTCGACTGAATCCTCTCCCTCAACCAGAAAACAAAACTGAGCCAGATGAATCTGCCCTCTGTGTTGAAGCCTCAGAGCCTGACACAATTCCTGACGCTACCTTGCAGGTGGAAGGAGAAAGCTTTTATGTCAGCCGACACCATCTGGCGCTCCAGAGCCCTTACTTCAGGGCTCTGTTTTTTGGCTGTGGCGTGGAAAGCAACAAAAGGCATGTGGAGATCAAAGGGGTAGAGCTACAGTACTTTAAGGTCTTGATGGAGTACAGCAAGACACACAGACTAGATCTGAAGAGAGAAAATGTTCTGGGAATCCTGGAGACAGCAGACTTCTTGCAGCTGGAGCGACCCAGGCTGCTGTGCTGCAAGTTCCTTGAGCGTGAGCTGCACCTCACCAACTGTTTGGGAATGATGGCCTATGCCTGGCAGCTGGGTTGTACTCAGTTGTACACCGCAGCACGACAGGTGGCACTCACACATTTCTCTGCAGTTTCATCCCAAGAAGACTTCCTGTGCCTTTCAAAGGAGACGTTAGCAGACCTTCTTGCCAGCGATGACCTGGCCATCTTCAGAGATGATCAGGCCGTGGAGGCCACCATGCACTGGGTGTCATCTGACCCTAAACGAGAGGAACATTTCCTGGAGCTGATTGAGCTGGTGAGACCCGAGTCTCTCTCTTTACCTTTTCTTTCTAAGCTTTTGACCCAAATGAAAAGTTCTGACCCCAGAGCCAGACTCATCAGCAAGCTCAATGAATATTTTCCACCTTCTTGGTCAGTGGGAAGGTCAATGAGGAGAACCAGAGCCAGCGAGACTTTGTATATCCTGGGTGGACCTCATGATAAGGAAGAACAGGCTCTGTATCAGTTTCACCCTCAGAGTGGTAGATGGCAAAGCTGCTCACCTCTGCAGAGAAAGAACCTAACTCAGTACTCTGTCGCAGCAGTGGGTAATGTTTGTGTAATAACATTATAATGACTGTTGTCATGTTGATGAGTATACTAACATTAAGGCCTGATATTTATAAGATGTATAGTGTCTTTCATACCTATCAATGGATCTGTGCCCTTGTAATTTTTTTAATCAAACTGCAAACTTCAATGTGTGTTATAGGCATTATTAAAGCAACACAACGTTGTGCATGATTATGAAGTGAAGGGATGATGACTGATGATTTACTTACACTAATACCGATTTGAAGATTCTGCTTTGGCAACCTACCAGCTGCAATTCTTGTGAAGTATTGTACACATAGTGAATACAATTATTGCCTTTGCTTCTTTGCAAATAACTTCCATAAGTTAAATTTAACCTTAAATGACACATGGGTGAACTCTGTTTACTCCAGGGATAATTTCAGAAGAGAGTTGGTTTGATTTTAAGTATTCGAGTGAAAAGAGTTGCATACAAAAGGACGTTACAATTTGAAAACCATTTTACATTTTCCTTTCACGTCATAATCATACACTTCTTGGTGTTTGTTAATTTATCAAATCCTAATAAAGAAATGTTACATTTTTGGTTTAAAAATGACAATACATAAAGATATTAAAGGGGCACTGTCAAGAAATTGTTTTAATTCCTTCATATAAAATATATAAAAGTACATTATAGACTATTCTTTTCTTTTGGGATTTTTGTTGATGTATTTTCTGATTTTCTTAGGGAACAATGTGGTCGTCACAGGTGGCTACTTCCGAGACGTGTTGTGGTTCAGCGTGGACTGGGTCAGGATATACGAATGTGGGAACCAGCGCTGGCTGGATGGTCCGGCCATGCAGAAATCCAGACACAGTCACTGCTCCATTGGGCTGGATTCAGCTGTGTACGTGCTGGGCGGCAGCATGGATGAAGGCCTCGTGGCTGACGTAGAGAGGCTGGTCCTGGGGTCAGAGGAAGGCTGGCAGGGGGTGAACCCCATGGTCAGGGCAGTGGAGAGGGCCGCCACATCTGCTCTGGGAATGTGTATTTATGTTGCATGTGGTCTAGATGAAAATGGGGATGTGTACGCAGGAATTCAGAGATATGTGGTGAAGGAGGATCAGTGGGATGTAGTCTCCAATTCACCGTTTCCACGGTGAGTAACATGACTTCTCAGATTATGCTTTTCACATTCCTAAAATGAAATTACTGAAGAAGAATTATATTTCAAACAGAATAAATAAATATATGTATATTTAAACTCTCTTTCAGGTATGACCTGGTTGCCACTGAGCTCAATGGTGCCCTCTACCTGTTTGGAGGCCAAGCCCTGCGTTTTGACCTGGAGACCGATGAATGGACGATACTCAAAGAAGAGTGTTTGGAGAGAAAGTTTTTTTGTGGCTGCACCAATGTCAGTGGCCAGATCTATCTAGTCAGCGAGAGGAAAAGCAACAAAGCATTCCCAAACATGGTGCTGTTGGACCCGTACATAGACACTTGCATTCAGATAGACGATGCTGTGCCCTGCCCTTTGCCCCTTAGGGGGTGTGTCACCATGAGGATGGTCATATGATTTAATCTTGTTAAATAAAATGATACATCTGAAGTATTTATTTTGTATAACTGATCTAAAAGTGATTTATACTAAAGAACCTTACAAAAATATTCAATCCCCTTTAATCTCTTTACATTAGAGATCATTCTGACAACAGACTTCTATGCTTTTTATTGGAATATTTTCAATAGACCAACAGAAAACTGCAAATAGCTTGAAAGAAAATGATACATTGTTATGAAAAGCTTTAAAATCTGGTGACTTGGTAGTAGTTAAAACAAATGTTCACTGCAATTAAAGGTTGTGGTCTTTTGGAGTGTATACATACCAATATTTTACAATTCTTTGCAAAAATGTCTCAAGCTCACTCAGATTAGAAGAATAATGTTTGTGAACAGTAAATTTTATGTCTTGCTGCAAGTTTATAACTGAGTTTGACTAGGATAACAGATAACATAATGCAAATACATGCAACCATTTTCATAATTTACTTGGAAAAAAGTTTAAAAAGACAATTAAGTGGTAATGCAATGCCCTTTTATGTTTGATAAAGTTAATATAAAGAATAGCTTTTCTTCAAATTTTGGACAAATGAAAGCATTGTCCGACTTATTAAATATGGATCATTTATTAAACTTTTCAACAAGCCACTCAGTAAACAAAATGTCCATGTGCACTCACTACAGAACAGTCAAGAGTAACCGCTTTATAAATGTATTAAAACAATAATTTCATAATATTCAATGGGATCTCAACACATGTACACCAGTGAATCAGCCCTTTTTATTTTAACCTCCCCTCTATATTAACACTGTACAACTCTCAGAAATAGTAGAAAAGCAGCAGATGTGCCATGTGTGAACAGTGAAAACAGCCAGTCATTTTAGAGAGCGCCAGTGAACACCCATACAGAGGGTTAGTGAATGACAAAGTATATTGGTGTTTGTCTGCAGCAATGAAGACATCGCCTTGTGCATTTCACTGGATAAATGCATGCTTGGTTCTACCAGTAAGTTACTAATACCAAATGGAAACGCTTCTCTTCATCTGAGGCCTTAAACTAAGCAGCAAGCGTCTCTGAGTGGACCTGGTTTTTATAATGTATGCAAAACACTTTGACCAATCACATCACTCACAGTTGAATGCTTGTCCAGTAAAATTAAAAGCACCAGTACAAAGACTTCATTCTTATTTCTTGTGGTAAATTAGTGTAAAACCAGCAGCTTAAGGAACAAAGTAAAAAGCCAGCTCAATCTACAACAGCAAACCCCAATGTTGCTTCCTTGACAATAAAAAAAACAAGCATAGTTGAAATAAAGATCTTCAGAAGCAGTATAATTTTTGCAGTCATACATTCACAAAAAATTCTCTCTTGACAAGTATATGCGTTTTCTGAAACACCAGAGGGCGACATATGTCTAGTAAACAATTAGAAACACAGAGAATTTAATCAAATATTACTAAAAATAATAACTTTAGAACTGCTATGGACCTTAGGTGGTTTCCAAAGAGCTACCTGTCCTATGGCAGGAGGATTATATGAAGGAGGATTAAAATAAAAACAATCCTTACATTTGTCCCACTTAAATATATACCTTAACAAAAAAACAATTATATTTTATATAAAACCTTCAGCACTTCAAAAATAAGGGCAAAAAAAGGGTCTCTCTCTCTCTCTCTCTCTCTCCTTAAGATATTTACAAACAAGTTATTGCAATAAAATGCAGAACATAAATACAAGATATGTACAAACTACAGTTAGATGTGAAAAATACATTTTACAGTTTCCTTGTTCTGATTGATTTATTAACTGACTGATTATGTTTCCTGTAAGTATTGTAAATCACTACCATCATTCATGAATAGATGCTCCACTTTGTCACAAAAAAAGGATTGAGTCCTACCCTGATCTGAAACGGTTAATGATCTGTGTTGAAACAAAGCAAAAGTTTGAGTTTCTCTCCAGCGAGCAGAATGGGGGGAAGGCCCACTATCTGGCTTTACGCAGCCTGCTGTTTAGATTCCGCTGGTTGGTCAGGTTGTTTAGGACACAGTTGTTAGCCAGCGATGTCAGCTTGGAGTTGATAGTCTCCTTCCTTTGCTTGTAGTTGCGCTCACCCTCTTTTCCTTCTGTCTCCTCTTCTTCTTCGTGTTCATCCACCTCACTTTCCTCATCGCTGCGTTCGTCTCGCTCCACCTGCAAGTAAAACGTAATGGTCATCAACGTTTCTCCGGCCAGTACCGCTGTCACATTGCTGATTTAGCGGTCCTCACCTTGCCCGTGAAGACAAACTTGTATAACATGCGCAGAATGAGGTAGGCCCAGAAGATGTGCAGACCTTGCAGCACTAACAGCAGAACGTTGAAGAAATAATAACCGAAGAAAGGCTGGAAAAATTCACGAGACAGCATCATGGTGGTGTGGACAATTCTGAAAAATCAGGCACAATGTGAAGACACAGTCAATGAGACCAAGTTTAAATCTCACAATAAAAACCTCAAAATACAAATCTTTACATTTAGTTTTACTTTTTATTACGTCGATGACTAATAAATAAATATTTGCAGTTGCTACCAAAACATAATGTTTTTACCAAGCAGAAAGAGAATATTACATAAAACTTCCAATTTTGAACATACAGCATATTCCATAAACAATGTTTTTGTTACTTTTATTTTATACAAAACATTTTGAGTGCAAAGTGCAGCTTTCAAGATTTTATTTGTGACTTATACTTCTGGATATGGTATTTCTACGCCTAGAAAGTAGATTTACTTCAAATATAGATTGGATTTAAATCATGTTTTAATGCATGATGAAGCTTTTGGATTGAAAGATATACTCATGACCATCATCATAAAACTTACTGGTTTGCAGAAGTATTTGTTAATTAATTGCATTACCTCTGAACATTTTAACTCTACATGTGTTACAACATCTATTTAGTTCATGTTTTTTTCCATGTCAGCTCCCATATTTTTAATTAACTAACTTCGCAGCAAAGGAAAAAGTGACATGCAGTCTTACCTGCAAGGAAAAACCACAAGTCTTGTAACCAGGAAAACAACAGCAAATACGACAAACAACGAATCACATGTCGTTGTCCACACAGCATAATGAAACATCTTGGCAGACTAGACAAAAGAGAGCAGACAAATGTATTTTTACTTGTTAATTAATACAAAAGTCCTCAACATAATTGCAGTAAAGTCCAATTTATATATTACTTAATTTTAAAATAATTAATTGCAAATAGGCTTAAGGCTTGTTAGCAATCATATAGAAAGAACCATTGGGCAAATATAATTTGTGCATGATACAAAATTTTGCACCGCAAAGAAATTAACTAGAAGTTAAACACTAAGCACGCTTTTTTTTAATCGGATGGATCTGTCTGTGATCTTCAAATTGTTCTTAATATTGGAAAATAAACAAATACATGCTGACAAATTCAACTTAATCTGCAGACCAGAGCAGTGATTCAGATGGTTTGTTGAGAATTTTCAAAGATTCACCACATGGATGAAAGCTGAAAAGAAGCTTGGCATTCACCGCTGAGAGTTGTCAAGATACCCATGCTGCTACTTTCCAGCAATGCGGCTGCACTTCCTCTTGGCTCGGTTGTAGAAAATCTAATTGCTGACGGCAGGCGAGCCAATCATGAATCTTTCAACAAAAGCGCCTATTTCTGCTCAGCTCTTTTCAAATGCAGATGCGTGCACCTCCTTCAGTTTGACCACATGACAAGCCAACTGAAACGAGGAAAGGGTGAACAAAAACAGAGCACAGGACTGCTCAGGGTAAAGCACTTGAATTGAACAAATCAGTAGATGCAAAAGTGCATAATCATAGAACTGAAGTTACTTAACCGCAAGGCATTTCTTCTCCTTTGACAAACAAGCTTTGGGTTGCATTCATCTATTCTGCCCACTTGTCTTGACTTAAGTTTTTGTAGTTGCATTGGCTTGGAATGGAGAGGATGCAGCTGCAGGAATAAGACTGGTGCCTGCAGTCCATCCCAGATATCTGGGATTTTGACCACTGCTACCAGGCCAAAATGTTGCTATTTTACAGAAGTTCAAATAAAAATTTCAATTACTTTGGGAAGTGCACCAGTCTCTCCTACAGCAAAACAGCAGCACAACATGTCATCACTCGAGTACTTCACAGTTGGATGACATTCCCAGGTTTCCAAAATTTCACCTTTTTTACCCCAATTGGAACAAAAATCTTAAAAGATCCAACCTCAGAACGTATATTCAAAAACTAAGATATTGTCCCATATTACAGCAATTACAAACTATAATCTGACTTTTTATGCTGGTTTTGGAGAGCCGGCTTCTTCCTTCCTAAGTGGACTTTCAGTCCATATGGGTATAGTATTTATTTCACTGTGGATACTTATAGCTTTTAATACCTTCAACTAATAGCTGAATTGTTTTATGCAAAGTAATCTTACTGTGTGAATGTTTCTGATTTTTAAAGAAATGTATGAAAACAAATATCTTGAAGGGTTTTCTCATTATTCTAACATTAGCAAACAGATAAACTCTATCTTTCTGAAGTAAAACAGGAAATGTTTTGTTTTACTTAATGTCAGAAAAAAAGAAAAAAACATAATATGTATCTTTAAATACTGTTTATGTAGATGTGGAGTTTGAACTTCAAATCCTTTCACAACCACTGATCATGTAATAATTCCCGAGGTAAAATAACTAGTTTTACATCTTTCCTCACCTCAGATATTACAATGGCACCTGGATTATTTCGATGTTATTAGTGCCAAGCGACTTTAAGGAAACCAGTCATTTGAAACTAAGGACAAAGTCTTGTTGACAGTGGCAGATCATAACGTTTTCAGCAAATCCCTTAAGCATGCGAAAGTAATATATTTATATTATATACAGGGGATTTTTAGTACTTTTTTGTGTTTGCAAAGTCTTTTTATATTGTCTTAAAACAACAAGGAAACTTTGACGAAAAGTACACAAGAAAACCTTCCTGTGATCTCTGTGAAGGTAATGAACTGCCAATCAAATGGTTGGATTTGCATTCTTTTTTATGCTTCCTTTCCTTCTGCTCCACCTCAGACAGGTATCTGTGTTGAGATGTAGATTAAACCTGACGGTAGGTGCTAATGAAAGGCTGTTTGTGGCGTTTTACCTCCAGCAGGAAGTCGGACGAATCATGCACCAGCATCACTAGCGTGCCAACCCTCACGTAGTTGGCGGCGTAGGAGAAACCGATAAGAAATATGGTGGCGATGTGATGAACCACCTGCTCCTTGAAATCCTGAAACATGTGCACAGAAAATAGAAACTGGCTAATGGACTCATCTGTGCGAAGTTACTCACCCAGAAAAGTGCAGAAAATTGAAACATTATTTCAAAAAACTGTTTGAAAAGTGGTCAATAATACAGACATTTCTACTAACAAAGATAAAATGCATTTTTTAAGTGTTGAATTATAAGAGGAGGAACTGTGACACTAAAACAAAAAGCTAAATTTCAGTTGAGGTGAAAGTGCTTTTGGGTCAGGCTCTTACTTTTCGCTTGACATCCACAGAAACACTGAGCAGCAGGGACAAATAGAAACTCAGCTCCAAGATGTAATACCAGTAGTGAGCGTCCGCCACAGCCTGAAGAATGAGAGGAAGAGCGTCACAATGAGCAAACATTTACATTCACAGTGCCTTTCAGCTTTATCTGTGCAGTCAGAGGAACTTTAGAATGTGCAAAGGCATTCACACCCCTTGAACTTTTTCACGTTCAGTTGATGTTACATTCAAAAACATAAATGTATTTCATCAGAATTTAATGTGAAGAATTTAATTTGGTTTCATCTGAATAGAAGACCTTCTCCCTCAGGTTTGCTGTCTGAATATGTTTGCAAGGCGTTGGACATGTAGCAGCAAAACAAATGTACTTTCTCACCAAAGCTTTGGGAACTCTTTGCAAGTGTTTGTAGAGCTGCAAGACAGAATCTAAATACCTGAGGGCGGAGAATAGAGTTAATAGGTCTCCCAAGAACAACAGACTTTAAGAGGAGGTAACATTAATTGCCCAGTTGGGGCTTGAATAGATCTGAATTTGAGTAGACAAAAAATTCAGAAAAATACAGTTTAAAGGCAAAACACTTCTTGCTCCGATGTAACACATTTATCAACATTATTCCCATTCTGTGCAGAACAAGAGGACATGCTTCATTCAAAAGAAAATTGTGAAGCACTATCTCGAGTAAAAAAAACAAACAAAAAAAACTTGCACAGTATTCAACATGGAGTGTTTGCACAAACACAATAGTAGGAAGCGAATGGGAACATTCAAACCTTAAACCACATTCTTTATCGCCAAAAAGGGTCCGGACAACTCGATGCAGCGCAGTGTGGCCTGAAGTCTGAACTAAAGATACAGAAAGCTGTGACTTTTTCTTTCCTACTGTTTTAACTATTCAAGGTCATGAACCCATGAAGAAGGGCGGCTTCGAGGAAGGAATGGCGACATGCGTGCATACCGAGCTGTCATCACACCACAGATATTAGCTTTAAAACTGTTTAAGGGAGTCTAGACGTAGAAAAGCAGGTTGACGCAGAAGGAGGGGAAGGAATTTTGATAAAAGTCAGTAGGAAGGCGTGTGCTAACCTATGTTGTATGTGCAAAACTTTGCATTGTTGAATCTCTAAGACTAATAACTACATGGAAAATTATGACTATTTCTTCTGAAGTCACTTAGTAAAAACAGTTTATTAAATGTTTTGTTTGATGGTAAAACTGCTCCTTAAAAAATGTTAAACAGAAAAAATTAAATATTTGTTTTACTCTTTAATCAAAATAAAAGTTTGGTCTTATTAAATAGAAGTATGTTTGATCAAAGCATCGATATATTGTCTGACTGTCACGTTAATTCTGAATTGAATAAGCACATTATCCAAGACAATGGTTGTATGTTGTGTTGTATTGTTATATTTTTGTCTTTTATTCAGCTGCTCCCTGCAGGGATTGCCTCATCTGATCATTTGCCACCATCTGACCATGTCCCACATCAGTCCTCTGCTTGGTCTCTTTCCACATGTTCAGGAACTGTCTCTGTAAACTTCTGCTATTCCTCTTCCTTTGCAGTTTCTATTTAAACCCATCTATTCAATAAATTTGTTGCTCTTCTTCCGCACATCCCGCAACAATCTCAGCCTTTTCTAACGTCACTGAGCTGATCTGTCCATTTTAGCTCCTGTCTTAGCATCGTCAGCTCTGCTGCCTCCTGCTTCACACTCTGTTTTAGCCGCACTGTCTTCAAATTATATGTCATAAGGGTTTTCCTTCCACACAATAAATCTCCTCTAATGCATGTCTCTAACCCCTCCAGCCTGCTTCCTCTGTGTCCTCATCTCTTATCCATAGTGACCAACGCTTTGGATGGTACTTAAACTCATCTAGTCTAAATTAGGTTTAAAGACTGTGTCCTAAACTGCTTTTAACTCTAAATAGTCTGGAGAGTTACAGTTTTTAACAAATCACAGTGTGTTTGATACAGTGCTGCAGACAATACTTTAGATGTGTTCGGGTCATGCCATGTCCTGCTCACCTGTTTGGGATATCCCCTCCAGCACTCTCTGTGATCCCAAAACCAGGGGGTCTGGAAGATCCAGGAAACAATCATTCAATGCAATTCTAAAAGTATTGAATGATTACAAAGTTAAAGGATACATAGCCTATTTTAAAAATAGGCTGACAAACTTACATCAATCAGTGAGCCGAGTCCAGCGGCAAAGGATACGAGGTAGAACACAAACCGCCAGCTGCACAAATTGATAATCATCTCTTAGAGGTTTAAACATTTCCATCCAGTTGAAAAAGCTGATGGAAAAGTTTACGCTTTGTGACACTGATTCTGCAATCTTACAAATTAAAACACATCAAAAACAAAATAATTACAATGGAAATCCTACCGACAATGAAAAATCCTAAACTTAAGGAGCTCCAGATGCAAAGCTGGTTATTTTACTTATTGAATCAAGGAAAAGAAAAAGTGACTCACGATGCTTCACAGAACTTCTTTGTATTGCTGGGCTTGTCCTGGTTCCTTCTGTGCCTGAACCAGGTTTGAATCTTTCTTTGAGAGAGTCCACACTGCCTGCCCAAGCTCACAACTTGGCTCTAAAAACACAAAGAGCCAGTTTAACACAATGCTTCGTTTTTCAACTTAATCTCCCCACAGTCAGCCTCTTAATGGTTCAGTTACTACTTAACAGTTAGAGTAAAATGTCTACATATTTATCACATTTATAATATGTCACACATTTCAGACACACATCTCTACAGTTCCCATTCTTTAGAAAAGTTATTATTACAAAATGTTATTCAGAATTTACAACAGATATTTACAGTGGCCAGACTGAAACAGGGATCAACTGATCGGATGGATGATTTTTCTCTTTATTAAAGTCATCCAGACTTTTCAAGCCTGCATTAGTTAGATCCCTCCGAGTAGAGCACCCCTAAAGAGGCAGAAGTGCAGGATGTAAACATTTGTGCTCTGCTGAGTCAGAAATGAGAGTGGCTCAAACCACTGTCAGTGTGATGATGCCTCCCTCTCCGTTTCTGCACCCGGCTACTTTACACCAGCTTCTGTTACAGCTAAAAGGCCTGAGCAGGATGAAACTTAATTACAAGGTTAAGAGATGTTATTCTCAGCTAAAGCAGAAAGGGCACCACATTTGTCTCATTTGAACTGGCTTTTTTTGTTTTTTTACATCTGCTGTTACAAATCATAATTTAAACAATTACAATATTTTGGAAGTTATGTATTTCTTAAAAGCATATCTTTTAAGAAATATGTTTAATGTGAACTGCAAGCAGAAACGAACATGATAGAACAAAAATCAGCTGCTTGCTCAGCACACAGGAAAACAAAAGGATTGCAAATAGGTCAGAAATGACAGTTTGATTTCTTGTGGCTGGACAAATTGCAGACATGTTTTTATGTACCCAAACTTAAGACAGACAGGAACTGGAAAAATCCCAATTTATAGGTCAAGTCATGTCTTGTTCTGACAAATGCACAGCTGTTCTTGTTAGGACAGGAACAGCGGTGGTGTTACTACACCTGTTTCTGAAACACGTGAAGAATTTCTATGTGACACACACACACCTTCTTTAAAAAAATGAAACGATACTGTCAATGTATTGCATTGATAACATTTTCAATACTTAAAAAACATCTCTGTTAACAAAATACACAGACAATCTGGCACTGTAAATGTTTAAAGACAAAGCCAGATTCAGGTCTGAAAAGCTTTCCTTCGAGCAGAAGAAGAAATAAACTACAACATTAGGTAGATCCCAATAGAAGCTCATGCTGTGTTTGAGTCATATTGAAAATACTGACTTTCCCTGAGAAACTTCCGCCTGTTAGCTGCTCCCTTTTCAGAAACAAGGAAACGCAAAGCTTACAAGTGATGCAACAACGCATCAACGTTCACATCGCATGTGCATCACTATGTGCTAATCCCCGCAACCACCTTCAAACTTCAGTTCAAATGTCATCATGTGCACTCAGTCAGTCTTGTGAAAGAAACTGATTCATTATGTTGGATTCATTTGCTTAAAAATTTCCAACAGGTTTAACAGGTAGAGGAAACATGACAAAAACTACCTTTAACATTTGCAGCTTGTCGATAGCAACTACTGTTGAACAAAGATCTTTTTTCTGACTGTCTTACTTCTGTTCTTAATCTTAAAAGTGCAATCTTTGAGTTACTTATTTGGTATAATTAGCAATTAAAAGGCTAGAACTATTTAAAATAGGGCTTTCTGGTATTGCATTGCTGCACAGTGGCACACTTTGCAGCAAGAAGGTTCTCAATTCAAATCCCAGCCTGGGGTCTTTTTGTATGGCGTTTGCATGTTCACGTCCATGCGCTGGAGGTTTAAACATGCACTGGAGAGAGCCAACTGGCTCTACTTCGGGTTTCTCCTGCAGTCAAAACATCGCTGTTCGATGATATTGTTTTCTAAAAATTGCCCTCAGGAGTGAGTGTGTGCTTGCGTGGTTGTTTGTCCAGTGTCTTTGTTCATAGCCTGCAGGGCTTCTCCCAGAAAACTTGCTACATCCAGTACTCGTGGCAGTCATCCAGCCACCCACCGTGCTTTTGAGTTAAAAAATGTTTTAAGGAACTTTGAAAATGTCATTTGATCGCAAGGCGTTTTTGGAAGACTGGGAGACTAATACCTAAACACCAGCTATAAAGCCTTTAAAAAAAGGCAATCATAAAAAAAAAAACAACAACAACAAACAAACAAAAAAATATATAACAAAAAAATTAATAAATAAACAATGCTAAGCCTGGGCATGAGTAAAACCTGGTGGCCCACAAGCCTGAGGGAATACCTGGACTGACAACTTTTCCAGGGTGCACGCTGCCGCTTGCCCACTGACACCGGGAAATAGGTAATTTTTCATTCTCGAGCTGCTCTTCAATTGCAAATGTGTCCATAACTTTGTCAATATTCTGCTAATGTTGAAAAAATGTGGGATTGTGGTGTTTCCATTAAGTTGGAAACATAATTACACATGTGAATAAGTTCATTCACACAATCTCATTAAGAAACATGCAGCACCATCATGCTCCAACCACATCCTGTCCTTCTCTTCGCCTTTCCTGGCAGCGGTAACATCCAGTTGTAAACCAAACGACTCGTGTGATGAGAAAAGTGTTTCCATTGCACACAAAGTTTGCTACAGCCGAAAATCACCCCATCCTAACACAAAAACCTTTCAGCAAAAAAATGCATTTCTTTTTTAATTGCCGTGTTTCAATTAAGCAACTTTATGGTGACTGGAAACACAACTACTGTGGCTCAGGTGACAGAAGAAAAAACCCTATTAACAGGAAAATCAGTGGTGTAAAATCAGACCAGAGCTTTGTGAGAGGAACCTGACATTTTTAAATCCCAGACACCAAGAACAGTGGATTTTCTTTCTGATCTGAGATGAAGGTTTGGGATTTCTCCCACCTGGATGCTCCAGCAGAATGATTGTTTTTTTGTGCTTTCTAAAGAGGACAGAAAGAATTAGGAGGAAGAGGAGTACACACTTGTGATGGTTGCCGACTGATGTGTTCGTAGAAGGCCTCCAGCTTTGGGATAGGCGGAGCTCGAATCCGAATCCGATCCTTCACACCTAAACACTTGCTAAAAGGAATGGCGATGATTCTAAGGACAGAAAACAGAAAATTATTTTTTAAATATATTGTAACACCTAATGCACAACAAAGAAGACAATTTTTGGATAAACATGACCAATGAAAGCCATCAGCAACACCAGCTGCTCAGTGTGGATCTGCGGTGAAGTACAGAGCAGGGAAACATGATAGCTTAATATGCAACTCATGACAGGTCGAAGAGCTGTTCCCACCGGTGTATTGCCACGTTTGGCAAGATAGCCTTAGTGATTAGATATTGATATGGCATCATCTGATGCCATATCAATATCTCGACATGTTCACTTGATCTGAACGTGTTTGTGAGTGCATGTGTAGGTCAGAGAGAATCAGAGGGATAAGACAAGCAGTAAAACAATGAATTTCTGAGAAGGAGTTGAGGAAGAGTGACAAATGGCCGTCTCTGTGCACAGTTCGGCAGTATAATCACATGTGTAACTCTACCTCAGAGATAATCATCACAAAGTGAGGATAAAGGGACAGATCAGGGAGAACGAGAAGGTCGGCTTGGCTTTGTGCGGAGCCGCACGCTCTCAGATTACAGGAGCACAAAACAAACACACAGACATGTGGTGAGCTCAAGACAGAAAACAGCTGCAGCCTGAGGAGATCGAATGAAGAACCACCTCATCCATCATGCTACACAAGGACTAAAACAGCACAGATGCCCATCACAATCAAAACAGACACACAGCTACACACGCGTGACCTGGTAGTAATATTCTTCTGCCATCCTGTTACCCATGTATAGCTAATGTTACTATTCTCTGATATTAAATACCCTATGAAGGTTCATCTGAAGGCAGAGTGCAACAGGATGCCACATTTCACTTCAAGCAGTTCAGATTATGAGGCAGCTGATTGGAAAAAGTATTCAAAAAACTTTACTCCTATCTGATCGACTATCACGTGCGTTGGCATCTTGTCGCTTTCACACTTGACTTCAGTTCACTGGAAGGTTCCAGTATGACCTACCGCAGCAAACTTATTTATCTTTCTGTCCTGTCATCATTTTCATCACAATAAATTTAATTAGGTAAATTGTTGTTTTTGAAGTGAGGTATTGCTAAAACATTGCTAGAAGTGAATATCTAACCTGCAGCATAACTTTAGGTGTATTTTGTTGTTTGTAGTGTAGAGGTACCCAAAGTCTAAAGTTAATGGCTAATCAAGGAGGCCAAGATCAAAGCAGATTTCAATCATCTTAAAAGAAAAAAAAATAAGAATAAAAACAATCTCAGAGGTTTATGCAAACACCATTTTATGATGTTCTAAACAATCATCAAGTTTGCATTGCGCGGTTATTTTACCAGAGGCCAGCAAGTATTTGCATGCAAAATGCATGATGGAAACACATAAAGAGCATGTTGAGACATTTCCAGACAGACTAGTTTTCTGATATAAAAGTAAAGGATTCTACACTAAATGTTTAAGTAAATACTACTTATTGATTTTTGCACTGCCTGGATTCTTTTAGCTTTTAGCCACTGAGGGAAATGACGGGGTTGCATTAGTTGTCAGGAGGAATTTGGCACACTAAACTTTGAATGACAGAAAACAAAGCATATCTAAAGGCAGGTGTTGTGCCACCATGACACAGGACTGTTCAAAGAGGTTATGGATGGAACATTATGATTAGCATTTCCATAAATAACAATGACTTGTTGTTTCGCTTTAGTAAAAACTTCTCTTACTAAAGCAACAAATCAAATGCCTTCATAGAATGTATCCACACCCTGTTTTATATATCGTTAATGAGAAGACATGGCTAACCCCTCCATCCACAGCCTTCATGACATATACTTAACATCAATTTTAATCCACACACTCAAGTGCTGCCTACAGGCACTGTAATAGTGATATCTCACCTTTCAAATACATATCTCAAGGCTATAAAGGCAAAGGCCAGTGGCAACGTAATGAGGAGATCCCTGGGCATAGGAAAACGACCGTCCTCATCCTTCATCTCGATGTCCTGCCAGCGGATGCCAGGAGGAAGCCAGTACTGCTCCTGCCACAGCCAGTCATTCAACATGGCCGCCATCCTGAGAAGAGGAAAAGAAGGAGATGCTTCAGCTGATATTAATGAACAAGAGAAAATATTCCTCATTAGGGCAATAAATCAATAACAAGATCTATTGCAATAGAGACATAATCAGTATCAATAGATAGGATATCTGATTGAACGTTCAATATATAGAATATTCACTTGAACTCTAAACCAGAACTGCAAGGGCATTCTGGTAGATGTAGGCAGAGGAAAGGCTTTAGTAGCTCAACCTTTTACAGCCAGATAAGCAACTAACTCACTCTTCATCTACCCAGCAATAACCCGATTCTAGGAGTAACTTGCACAGCACCAGTTTCAGGTTTGCCTCATAACAGCTTAGAAATAAACAACACTGAGTGAAAACTGTGGATAGAGGGGAAAGGTCATACCACCAATTTGCAGTATTTCAGATATTTGAATAAAAAAAAAAGCTAATCAATTATTAATATCTGAAATGAAATGAAATATCATGATATGCTTTTCAACCATATCGTCCAATCCTACTCCTCATTCAAATATGAACATTTCTTTTGTGGTAGCAATACTTTATAAAGAACATAATTCATATCATTGGTCATGTGTTTTATCTGATTTGGATTTTTATGCATGTATTTCATCTTATGATCCGCCCCGCCCTTGTGCCTGTATCAAGAGGGCTGCTGTTGACAAGACATTTTAAAAACACTGTTTCAACTCATTCCGCTCCTTTTTGTCGTTTAGCTATGAGATATGCAGCGGAAGTTGTTTGTATCAAAATCAAAGCATCACATCAAAAACCGGAAGTCAACCATATATTATACAAATAAAACGAAGAAAAGGCAATACAACAAAAAATGAGCTTAATTTGGGGTTATTTACACAACTATTTAAATTTTTTTTTAATTTACACACAAATATTTTGTAATAAGTCCCTCGAAGTGGGAGATTTAGCGACACCACAACCCAGTTCTCTGCAAAAATCTGCATCCCATCGCATCCTTCACTCCTCCGGCCTGCACTGGGCTTGCAGCCTGTGCTCTGGGTTCAAAAGCGGATCCCTCATAGGATTCATATCTGATCGGGTTGCTGCCGCGCATTCTGCTGGCAACACAAAACGAAGGCAGCAGATGGACGTCAGCAAAACTGGATGGAGCGTCCGACGCCGAAGCAAGTGCATCAGTGAAAGGACTGAAGCGGCAGAGCTCCTCAGCGCGCAGAGAGACGACCGTCTCTCCCCTCACCGTTACGTCCACCGCCACTAATGACATTTCCCCAGCCACGTTAAAAAAAAAAAAAATCTAAATCATGTTAAAATATTTTGCAGCATTATGCAGCAGGAGCAACGTTGCGCTCACCTGTCCAGGCTCATGATGTGCGGAGGATGAGGAACGACCAGAGGCAAGTGGGTGAGGATGAGGAGGAGCTTGTTTTTACGCCCCCTGCGTCTGCGGAGGGCGGGGATAGGCACGCTCCGTCATCATCACTTTATTGTCAGCTCGACGGCGTTGACGTTTTGCCACCGTGCGTAAACCCAATAAGCCGCTGTCATTATACCAGCCAAAACATGCCCCACATCCTCCTCCTAATATCAATAGCCTTGCAGCTAGAAATAAAGATTTAGATACAAACACATGCATACTCTGTAGACCTTTAACTCCTTGATTACATTTACAGCGTGTTACGTCGGGATTTTATGTACCGTTTGCAATACTGCATGATTGTGGAGTTGTTTGTTGTTTGTTTGTTTGTTTTCCAAAATTAAAATATGTGCTCTCCATCAAACTTGAACCTTCAGAAACTGATTTTTTTCTAGGTGCTTGGCCAGATTGGATCAAGATTTTCTGAAAACCTACCATTTTCTAGTCTTGTTCCAGATTTTGTGTTTCGCTCTTGTCTTGTCAATTCTAAACATAAATACTTGAACTACTGCCCATTTAAAAAAATGTTCTTTTTTGTTAGTAACAAAGATAGTACTTATGTATGCATACAAAGATGCATATATCTTTGTATTTAAAGATGTATGCATGTGGATGGTTGATTGATGCTTAGTTGTTTATTGTGTAGTGAATTGATTGGAGAAAATAAATTGACTACATAAAGATTATTTTTCTTCAAAATATTCCTTTTCATTTAAACCTTTTGTGTATGTCAACATGTCACATGTTCATTTTGAAACTGGAAATGAATAAAATAAACAAATGAGTAAATCAGCACTGAACAAATCTGCTGATGTTTTTGACCTGCTACTTTTGTTTTTCTTAAGTAAAAATAACTTCTGCTCTCCCCATATTTGGTCTCGGCACAGTAATAATGTTCAGCATGACAAGAGAAGGGGAAATCATTTGATCTCCCAAATCATCTGCTTTCATGCATGATGGTGCATGCACAATTTTTTCATAGTCATATCAAAATAAACAGCACAAGGAAGAATGCCTCTAACAACTTTCAGTTATGAAGTGGAGTGAAACTTCTTTCTATCAGAGGAATATAAAATCAGAGTTGACCACATCACTGATGTAAATAGAGTAGAAATAGTTTTTTTTTTTTTAAAAAAAAAGCTTTTAGCAGGAATAATGTATTTTCATTCACTAGATTGTGTTCTTGGTCATAAGAAAAAATGGGACTCATTTTGAAGGTTTAAACAGTTCCCTGTGGTAAATACTAGGGTGTGTGCAGACATGTCACAATCTAAGGTATTAGCGGCCTGTCTAACATAATCATTAATCCCTTTCAGGCATAACAGACAATGTGTAAGGGGATTTGCTCGTTATGATTAAGTCTTGATTACCTTTTCACAGACAGCAACAAACATCTTTGAGTTTTCTGTTGTACAGGAGCTCCAGAAAAAAAGCATTAAGAAAGTTAAGAAAACCTTTGAACTGTGAGTCCACCTGGTTTGTATTGCTAGACCCAACTATATGGATTCAACACTTAATACAAATTACCACCTAAAAAAACACAAGTTCACCTAGACTGCTTCACTGGGTTTCACTGTATATTTAGTCAAGTCTAGGAATGCCTGGCACTCTGTACATTTGTTTTTTTTCTATGATTCTGGCATGTGACCATTGAGATAGCAACAGTGTGGAGATAAGAAGACTTTTTCTATGTGTGATTGCAAAATTTTAGAGCTGCATATGACAAATCCTGGAAGTCTAAGCAACATTTTCAGCATTATGATGCATCGATAAGTCATTATTGCTGAGCAGTGGTGTGACTATGTTGTCACTGTTGGTGTCACAATGGGAAGGAGTCACACATTACCACTCACCTGGGCATGTTCTGTTGCTCGTCAAGGAAGCTGACAAGCATCTTTTTTCACTTGTCACCACAAACACATGTCTTGTTCTCATACCCTTTGTTTCAGCTCTCATTAAGACAGATCCCTGCAGGACTGGGTGTGAGAATCTCCACGCTATCTATTGTCACACACCTTGCACCGCACACATAAATAATTATTTGGTAAATCTATGAGACACAAGTAGGTTGGTAATTTCATGTTACCACTTTACTTGGTCAAGCATAAAAAAAATTAGATAGGGTATGATATAACGCATAAGCATTATCTCACACCTAAAATATGGAAAAATCTGGGATTCATATGTTTATAAAGAAATGCATTCAGCAGAATCACTTGTGACACAGTGTTGTTGACCCTTCAAAACTAAGATAACTGAAGTTGTTTCTTAAAATATTACTACTTACTTTAGGTTTGTCAGACTCAGTAGGAAGCAGAAACCAGTAGTTGGTATTTTATGATTTTCTGGAATCCGGAGATGCAGGCAAAGAAATTGTAAATAACTGTCAGCTGCCACTGCTTCTTTCACCACCTTTATGAGTGCCGCTTGTGCTAAAATATCCAACACAACAGCAGCTGACTCGGCAAATGCTGGTTGATGATGGGTTTCCATCCTGCAGCAGTTTTTGACCAAGGTATTGACCAGCATGAGGTGGTGGTGCAGGTGTTCTGTTTATCTGTGCGACCCGTAAATCCGTCCTACCTTGCCCATGCGCGCATAGTCAGGACACTGGGATGCTGAGTTTCTGCATGGTTTTCCATGAGGCCTGTGTTTGCTAGAAGTTTGAAGAAATTTTGCATCTAGCATCCAGTCCAACGAACAGCTTGAAACAGACCACGAGTGCTGAATACGCCATTTAGCATGAGAAGAGACAATTTGGCAGGTTTTCTAAGCTCTGCTTCTCAGCCCACAAATGAATGTTCCTTAAAAAATGTGGCACCACTTGAGGGGAAATAAACAAGCTTAGGCGGCACAAGGAAAACAATTGACCAAAGACACACTGCAATTTGTATCAATTATTATTTGCATTCTTTCACAGTTTTATCTTTAGCTTGAAGGGAACACACTGATCCTGTTTTAAGAAAAAAACATGCATAACATTTCAGCGCAAATGCTGTAGAGTCAAGGCCAGTTAGTGGCAAAGCATGATTTTACCCAATCAGATCAGTTGAATAAAACATTCAGTTTTATTCAATTCATCTTGGTTTTAAAATGCAGAGGTAATGTAATTTATACTTTCATGAATTATTATATGCTATAGCTAATTAGAGCTTTTTTCTTTTACCCCTCTTGTCTTATCAACAAAGGAAAAAGACAATTTCTTTACTTCCAGTTGGTGAAAATTATATAGTGAATGGCCATGCATGTTTATTAACAAGGTGAATATGGTGAGGAAAAAAGTAAAGAAATTTTCTATTCTTATAGGGCAACGGGAATGTCAGCATGATCTGAAGAGCTTGTGTGACTTCCATTAAGAGAGTTTTTATTTCCCTTTGCAAATCAGAACCAGTCCATGAATTACTTTCCAAGATTTTCCTTTGTTGGTTACAAATTCAGAGATCCAAACATATATTTTGCAAAACGAAAACGTATAAACCTTAATGGTATGTGCCTTTCAACTAAATGTCACAATTTCCAGATTTGCAGCAACCTTAGATGAGATGCAGCATGCTTCTAAAGTGATAAGAAGAATATGAAACCCAGCTGGAAACCCAGTTGGTTTATAGTTCTGTTCTTGACAGAGGTTGCCATTCACAGAGCAGCATGTCCTTCCAAAAACAACCGGAGCACAACAAAATTTCCATTCAGGGACAACAATAACATGGCCAGGATGTGAGGTATATGCTCAGGGATCCGGTCAGCAGCAGCAGCGGCAGCGGCAGCAGTGGTCCTGGCTCTAAGCCTCGCTGAGCCGGGCAGAGCTGCTTAGAACCCGGGCTTCCACACGGTCATGCTTCAGGAAGTGCAGAGGAGAGGCTTCCTCAATAAACACAAATCTACTCTGGAATTCAAAACTATCTCATACTCACATCAAGCCAGTTTCTTCTTCACAAGGGAGAACATTTCCACCATTTTTTTTTTTTGCAGCATAGGCAGACCCATGCTTTGGTATACAGTTAGTTTGCCTTTCACTGTTCTCAACATTCCTAGACCTCTCTTTGTCTGGCAGAAACACCAAAGCTGTCAACACTCTGAGATCATTTATTTCTGCTTTTAATTTCATTCCAGCATCCTCAAATAATTTCCTTATTGAGAATTTTTTGCCGTTATAATACCATATTGTTTTGGCTGCTTGTGCTGCAATAGGATGTCTCCAGACACCCAGAGTCTGTCTTCTCAACGCTGCAGCTAAAAGCTTTCAAATAAAATGGCATCCTTGTTCTAACTGTGCTTTGTTTCAGTTTCTCAGTGAAAATGTTGCCTTCTGGGTCTCTTCATGAGCAAATAGTTGATTGTTTGCCAGTTTTAACGAATTGTATATCTATCCACCAGAGGGCACCAGATATCTCAGTATTTCCAGAAGTGGGTCAGTGGGATAATTAAGAAGTTAATGGAGTATGCTATTACGCAATGTAACCGTGCTCATCCCATAAAAACAAGATTTTTGGTTCAACACTCACCCTGACTGCTGTCAGTTACAATACACATAATTTAATGAGCTTGTATAAGTAATTTAATCATGTGAACCTTTTGTTTCTTTTTGGTTTTCACAGTCACTTCAGGAACGCCTTTAATTAATCTAGTAAAAAGAATCATGGCCTATGATTCATAGCCAAGCTGATCATCGCCTTTTATGTTTAATTTTGAGTTCATTTGAACAAGAAGGCCAAGCAGAAGTTCAACCAGAGAGGCTGCATGCTGAAAAGTAATGTGCTTTTGTTACTTCAGGTTAGAAAAAAAATAAGTCATAAACTGCACAGGGTCCAGTGACAATACAATGGCTTACTTTTAATGTTCGGTGTATTGAACTGCTTTGATAATGTTATGAAGTTTTGCACATAGAAATGTGTTCAATTCTTTATGACTTGGAAGTCAAAGGAGTTCCTGCAAGTGATCGCAACATGTTCTGCTTCGGCTGCACAGAGGACAAGACTGGTTAGGACTGGTGCTTCATAGAAAGAAGGTCCA